GCTCAAATTGTGCGTACGCCAGTTTTATAAATCCGACCCCTGGACTGTAAGAACCTGGACTGTAAGAACCTGGACTGTAAGAACCTGGACTGTAGGAACCTGGACTGTAAGAACCTGGACTGTAAGAACCTGGACTGTAAGAACCTGGACTGTAGGAACCTGGACTGTTTGTGGCTGATCTTTGACTTCAGTTGCATCAGTCTGGCTTTTAAAATTTCAAGAAGACTTCCTTATCTTTCATTAAGATTTAAAAACATGGATGATTTTTTACAAATGTTTTCTTTTAGTTTCTCATCATAGTCCTGCCCAATGTAAAAAAGAATAATTAAAATGTTGTTAAAACACATATAATGATTTAAATAAAAAAACATTCCAATGTTTGATGCTGTAGGAAGTTTTCTGTTGTGGTGTATTTTACATGTCTAATGCCGTCTTTGTCTAGGATAATAATGCATATGATTATTACAAGATGTGAGCCATCATATTGAAATTAGGATTAAGTCAAATTTGGTCGAAACCTCAAACTATATTTGAATATTGAGATTTCCCAGATAAAAAGAAACAAAACTTTACTAACTCACAGGGAAAATCTCAACATTTTAAGGCGTTTTTACTCAAAATCAGTTTTTTGTTGCTGCTGCTCAAAAAAGTGCTTCAAAATTTAGTTTTATGATTATATTTCAGATAGTTCGTTTAAATGATACATTAATAAGGCTTTTATTCATTATATTTTGACTAAATGCAGTTTTTGTTAACATTTTAGTCAAAACACTATATTTGACTTTTTCTCCTTAAACAACTTTTAGACTTAATCGTCGTTTCGATGTGATGGCTCACATATTTTAGTTTTATTCTATTTCAAACAGCTTTAAATAAACCCAGAGACTGAAGCTAAAACATGACATCTGACAGTGGTTCCTCTCATGTTTGCTGCTGTAGGAGAGTTAAACCACATGATGTGTGAGGATGATCAGGTCAGTGATGAGGAGCAGAGAGACACAGGCTGCTCCGGTGCTGATGTGGAGCTGATGTGGTGCTGATGTGGTGCTGATGTGGAGCTGATGTGGAGCTGATGTGGAGCTGATGTGGAGCTGATGTGGTGCTGATGTGGAGCTGATGTGGAGCTGATGTGGAGCTGATGTGGTGCTGATGTGGTGCTGATGTGGAGCTGATGTGGTGCTGATGTGGTGCTGATGTGGAGCTGATGTGGTGCTGATGTGGAGCTGATGTGGTGCTGATGTGGTGCTGATGTGGAGCTGATGTGGTGCTGATGTGGTGCTGATGTGGTGCTGCTCCGGTGCTTCAGGATGTTCTCCTGTAATGACGCTCTAACCTAACCACCATGAAGCTTCTGTGGGACTGGACGTCAGGCTGTGTGGACTGATGAGGACACACTACAGCTGCTACAACAACAAAGCTCCCTGTTAGCTCACTGTTAGCTCACTGTTAGCTCACTGTTAGCTCACTGTTAGCTTACTGTTAGCTCACTGTTAGCTTACTGTTAGCTCACTGTTAGCTTACTGTTAGCTCACTGTTAGCTTACTGTTAGCTCACTGTTAGCTCACTGTTAGCTCTCTGTTAGCTTACTTTTAGCTCACTGTTAGCTGTCTGTTAGCTCACTGTTAGCTGTCTGTTAGCTCACTGTTAGCTGTCTGTTAGCTCACTGTTAGCTCACTGTTAGCTGACTGTTAGCTCACTGTTAGCTCACTGTTAGCTCACTGTTAGCTCACTGTTAGCTGACTGTTAGCTGGCTCAAACATCAGCTGAGGGAGCACACAGGGAGCTGGGTCTGTTGTATGGTAACAGGTCCAGGCTGAGGACCTCAGAGTGGCTGTGACTGAGTCAGGCGGGTGGTGTGTGTGTGGGTCTGTGGCTGCTGCAGGATGTGGACCACCCTCTGCAGGGAGTCTGTGGTGGCCAGCGCCAGGTACTGGCAGCACAGCCAGTCCTCCAGACTCACGCTGCAGGCCGAGTCCAGAGAGCGCTCTGCAAACTTGATCATCATCAGAGTCCTCTTCAGGTCCAGCCAGTTCTGCAGCGTGGCCTGGCGCTGGCTGGCAGCGGAGGCCGACACGGGGCCTGTGCTGCTGCAGCCCAGCGCCTGGAACAGGTCCTCCCGGGGGCCCCAGAGGAGGCACTGCAGGCAGGCGCGGGCCTCCCACATCTGGATGCGCTCAGAGGGGTTGACGGTGAGCAGCGACCTGGCCAGCTGCTGCAGACCCTGGGAGTAGAGCGAGCGCACGGGCAGCGGCGGCAGGTCCGCCCACGTGTACTCGCGCTCCTTCAGCTCTGGTGTCTCTTCAAACGGGTTGGGTCTGTGCAGCATCTCGTAAATGAGAATCCCCGTCTGGAACTCATCACACTTGCGGTACTGCGTAGCTGTGATGATTTCAGGAGCCAGCCTGGACTGATCGCGCAGCGTGCCAGGCTTGGTGGCCATCAGTCCGCTCTTCTGTTTGGCCTGAGAGAAGTTGCTGATGATGAGGCGGGCGGGGCAGGTGCTGGTGGCAGCAGATGTACCCGAGCCGCTGCCGCCGCCGCCGCTGCTGTTGTTGTTGGGCTCCAGTAAGTCCAGATTCCATGGACTGCCGGGCTGGCACTGCACCAGCAGCAGGTTCTCCAGCCTCAGATCACAGTGGGTCACATGATAAGGCTTCATGTGCTCCAGTCCGGAGCAGAGCTGCAGCAGCAGGAGGCAGATCTGACGCTCGTACAGCTCAGGGTTGTTAGCGTGTCGAGCTCCACCTTCTCTCACAAAGTCAGCCACCGTCTGAAACGGCACCTCTCGGGTGATGACCACGACTCGGCTCCTCAAATGGCCCGCTGCGTTCATGTTAGCTGCTGCAGCTTCAGCCACTTTACTGTTTGTGGCAGACGCTTTCATGTCTTCTACTTTATCATCCAGTTTCTCTTCTTCCTCATCCTCCTCTTCTTCCCAGGGCAGCAGCCGGGTAGGAACATCAGCCAGGAAGTGTCCACAGTCCTGCTGGATGTTAAAGTGCACAGGCAGGCTTTGTCTCACAGCAAGACTGTGGAAAAACTGCTGCTGGGTGTCCTTCACATGGCTCCGACAAATCTGGACAAACAAGACAACGTATAGATGTGGATGTTAAAGAAATGTTTGTAATCAAACAAAAAATAAAGTTCTAAATAAACTTCTTCTCTTTTGGTCTTTATAAAATTAGGAGACAATAGCAAACATTTTATTCTGCTTACATCATAAAATTATGAATATGAAAACATCTGTCAACACTTGTTTAAACATGCAGCTGTTTATTATTAGGAGACCACAGGTGGTAATAATAATCTAGCAGTTCGTCCATCCGTTGTCTTCCTCTTATCCGGGGTCAGGTCTCGGGGGCTGCAGCCTCAGCAGAGACCCAGACTTCCCTCTCTCCAGACACTTGGACCAGCTCCTCTGGGGGAATCCCAAGTTGTTCCCAGGCCAGCTGAGAAACATAGTCCATCCAGCGTGTCCTGGGTCTTCCTCTGGGTCTCCTCCCAGTGGGACGTGTCCAGAACACCTCACCAGGGAGGAGTCCAGGAGGCATCCTAACCAGATGAACCACCTCAACTGGCTCCTCWGGACGTGGAGGAGCAGCGGCTCTACTCTGAGTCCCTCCTGGATGACTGAGCTTCTCAGCCTATCTCTAAGGGAGAGCCCAGACACCCTGCAGAGGAAACTCATTTCAGCTGCTTGTATCTGTGATCTCCTTCTTTCAGTCACTACCCAAAGCTCCAGACCATAGATGAGGGTAGGAACGTAGACCCACTGGTAAACTGAGAGCTTCACCTTCAGGCTCAGCTCTCTTCACCATGACAGACCGGTACAGCGCCCACATCACTGCAGACAAAGCATTAATCCACCTGTCGATCTCCCGCTCCGTTCTTCCCTCATTCATGAACAAGACCCTGAGATACTTAAACTCCTCCACTTGGGGCAGGACCTCCTCCCTGACCCAGAGAAGGCAGCCTACCCTTTTCCAGCTCAAGACCATGGTCTGGGATTTGGAGACACTGATCCTCATTCTGGACGCTTCACACTCGGCTGTGAACCGCTCCAGTGAGAGCTGGAGATCTGGATATGATGAAGCCAATAGGACTACATCATCCACAAAAAGCAGAGATGTGATCCTAAGGTCACCAAAAAGGATCCCCTCAACACCTCGGCTGCTCCTAGAAATTCTGTCCATAAAAGTTATGAACAGAATCGGTGACAAAGGACAACCTTCGCAGAGTCCAACTCTCACTGGAAACAAGTCCGACTTACTACCAGCAATGTGGACCAAGCTCTGGCACCAGTCCTACAGGGACCTAACAGCCTGTATCCACAGGCTTGGTACCCCATACTCCAGGAGTACCCCCCACAGGAGTCCTCGAGGGACACGGTCGAACGCCTTCTCCAAGTCCACAAAACACATGTAGACTGGTTGAACTCCCATGAAACCTTCAGGACCCTGCTGAGGGTGTAGAGCTGGTCCGCTGTTCCACGACCAGGACCGAAACTACACTGCTCTTCCTGAATCTGAGATTCAACTATCTGATGGACCCTCCTCCAGGACCCCTGAATAGACCTTACCAGGGAGACTTAGAAGTGTGATCCCCCTATAGTTGGAACACACTCTGCAGTCCCCCTTTTTAAATAGGGGGACCACCACACCAGTCTGCCAATCCAGAGGAACTGCCCCCGATGTCCACGCAATGTTATAGTCGCGTCAACCAACACAAACCCACAACATCCAGAGCCTTAAGGAACTCCGGGAGAATCTCATCCACCCCCTGCGCCTTGCCACTGAGGAGCTTTTTAACCACCTCTGTGACCTTGGCACCGGAGATTGGAGAGTCCGACCCAGGGTCCTCAGGCTCTGCTTCCTCATGGGAAGACGTGTCGGTAGGATTGAGGAGGTCTTTGAAGTATTCCGCCCACCGACCCACAACGTCCCGAGTTGAGGTCAGAAGCGCACCATCCCCACCATAAACAGTGGTAGTGGCGAACCGCTTTTGCCCCCGAGACACCGGATGGTGGACCAGAATCGCCTCGAAGCCGCACGGAAGTCTTTTTCCATGGCCTTTCTGAACTCCTCCCATGTCCAAGTTTTTGCCTCAGCGACCACCCAAGCCGCAATCCGCTTGGACTGCCAATACCTATCGGCTGCTTCTGAAGTCCCACAGGCCAAAAAGACCCAATATGGCTCCTTCTTCAGCCTGACAGCATCCCTCACCGCCGATGTCCATTAGCGGGTTCGAGGGTTGCCACCATGACAGGCACCGACAACGGCCACAGCTCAGGTAAGCCACCTCCACAATGGAGGCACAGAACATGGCTCACTCGGACTCAGTGTCCCACACCTCCTCCAGAACATGTTCAAAGTTCCCCCGGAGGTGTGAGTTGAAGCTCCATCTGATGGGAGACTCTGACAGACATTTCCAGCAGACCCTCCCTATACGTTTGGGCCTGCCAGGTCTGACCGGCATCCTCCCCCACCAACGGAGCCAACTCACTACCAGGTAGTGGTCAGTTAACAGCTCCGCCCCTCTCTTCACCCAAGTGTCCAAAACATGCAGCTGCAGATCAGATGAGACAACAACAAAGTCAATCATTGAGCTGCAGCCTAGGGTGTCCTGGTGCCAAGAGCACATATGGACACCCTTATGTTTGAACATGGTGTTCGTTATGGACAATCCATGATGAGCACAGAAGTCCAATAACAAAACACCACTCGAGTTCAGATCGGGGGGCGTTACTCCCAACCACGCCTCTCCAGGTCTCACTTTCATTACCCACGTGAGCGTTGAAGTCCCCCAGCAGAACGAGGGAGGAGCACTCTCCTCCAAGGACTCCAAAAAG